CATGGCAGCGTTTGCCAGTGAGATCGTGGCCCAGGCTACATTTGGAGACTGGCAAACTGGACAGCAAGGGTGATTCATCTTTGGGGGTGAGGGGGCAGATACTCCCCGTCACTATTTGTCTTGTGACGTTGACATATAAAAAACACTCAGAGGGCACAATCTCGGGAGGGAAGTCTGGCAAACGTCCACAGTCAGTCTGGACACGAGAACTCCTGATGTCTTTTCTCTCTTTCTGTGTGTTTCTCTTGCATCAGGACCTGTTTGGCTTGAGCATTACTTCATGGATTCATGAGATAAATTATGTTTGTTGAAAGTTCGAAAGATGAGTATGGATTAATCTAATTGTGCTAATGTCTTAACACTGATCTACAGAAAACCTGAATGAAAGCGATCAGCAGATGTCAGGGCCATTGCTTTGACTCATGGGGAATAAATCTAATTTGAAATCTCTTGTTAACCTATGAACAAATCATTATTATTGTTGTTGTTCACAAACATATGAGCCTGGAAATTATATTTTCTTCATAATCATTTTGAATTAAATAATATTAGACTCCAGAATGATCTCTTTTATGCTAGCATACAAAATGTCAGAATTGCCCAGACTGTGCATTTGATCTGAAGTCAGAAAGGTCTGTCTGCTTGCAGTTCATGCCAATCTAACAATCTTCTATGACTGTGACTCTGGACATATCACATTATTCATATATTTATTTCCCAGCCTTATATTTCCCAGTGTTCTGCATGCACATCATAACTGACTGAACAGACTGGCACTATATACAAATGGGTGAGTGGAAGGAAAAAAATGGAAATTTAACTTATAAAACCCTGCAGAAAAATAGCCTCATTATGTATCTCATTGAATATTAACATAAATACAATTTTTAACTGCCTCAATTTTTTTTTCTGTCAGTTCTTTAAGCTTGCTTGCTCGCTCATTCATTCATTCATTCATTCATTCACATACATTATTTTCACATGGAAGTAAAGTTGTTGCAAAACTCCAGACTATAAATTAAAAATTGTAGTATAAGTGTTTGTGTGTTGAAATGTAGTCAATGCTCTGATATGAAGAAAAAAAAATCTGAAGGTGAGTATTTTTGACAAACCCATATTGTGAATTTGAAGTCACAGTCAAACAGCCACAAGTAATGACACTCACAAGAACAATGACAGATTGCATTTTATATAGTAAAGACTTTAATTTGTTATACTTAAATAACTAAACTAAAATTAAATTAATAAAAACTATATAGACATATACCAAAAAAGAAAAGAAAAATACATAAACTTAAAAAAACAACAACAACTAATATCTCAACGGTACTAAAATAACACTGTTTTCACTTAACAAACAACTTACAACTTGTCAATTCTGGAACAGCAATTTCAGATCTTCGCCTCCTGAATTTTGCAACACTTCTCTAGTTTCTTGTGTGTGTGCTGTCTCAGCAAAATCTTATGCAGAGCTTTGTGTTTTTCTCCAGCTAATTGGTGAAGGGGTAACACCTTGTACATGAGGGGAGGGGTTAGTCTCTCATTTTATCAAACATCTGGCCTGTATTACTGCTTACAAATTGCTGAAAGGACACCTACCAATAAATACATTACCTGCCTTACAGAGTATGTGTCTGTAGTAGAATATCTTTTAGCAGAAATGTACTAAAAAGTGAAGACCTTTCACAGAACATACCTGTATAGTTTAAAGGTTGTTAGTCTAAGCATAAAAGCTACTGAGTATAAAAAATCTCTTTATATACTAATCATTTTCATATTTGGGAATTATTTAGTGATTCCTAAATCTAACCAAATAGGGGATCTTTAATTTTCCAGCAGTATTTGAGCATAATCTTTTATCAAGTGCTATTTCTCAGAACTACTGTCTGTCCTCATAAAGTACAGTCATACTGTCTAAAGATCATTTTGTGAGCTATTTAACTCAGTAGGAAACATTTTGCAGTAGTAATTGAGAAATGGCATGCACACGTTTATGAATTCTAATTCTTATTCTAATTGCTTGGCAAAAACCCACTTCCAGTTTCTTCTCTTGTAAACATTTTACAGAAATTTGAGGATGTGGGAGAGCATGTACGTGCCTCGATAACCTATGAGAAGCTTGTATTTGGCATTTTATAGGAAATCTGCATAAATGTGGACAGGGTGTGCTGTTATATCAGAGTAGAGTATGATTTGTTCTTAGAAAAGAAGCTTACTGTATGTCTAAACCCTGCTTCACACCATTTTAAAAATGCAGGGACATTTTATTAAGCATAAGAACAATATGCTACAGCCTGCTGTTAAGCCTTACAGAAAATGTGGAGATATTGTATGTGGATTTTCTTTTCTAAATCCGACAAATGACTTGCATGAGGTTGCCATGGCTATCACAAAGGCCAATGCTGCTTCGAAGGGAAACAAATGCATAACACAGAAGCTGCCAATGCATATCATAGATTTCTCATGTCACAAAGAGGCTGTTATCTTTTGAATGCTTCATTCATGGTATTCTGTTGTAGAGAAAATTGTGTTTTTTCATGTCCCTCAACACTGGTGTCTCCAGTGATATAATGGTATAATGTGGTATCTTCCCTTCTCTGTGAACATGATTTTTACAGTACCTTTTCTGGCGCTATCAGAAACCACAGCATATGCAGTTTGAGATTGCTTTTCAGTGTGCTCGACTGAACAACTATCATTATAAAAAGTGTCCTAAAAATGTCTTGGTTGCCAATTCCTTGTGCAGTTTAGGAATTATTTAAGTTTAGCAAAGCAAAGAGCAGCTTGCTCAGATTTAATAATATTGGATTGCAAGACCATTATGTGTTGTGTTATGTTTATATCTAAAACTGTATGTTGATAACAGACCTTTTGGTCTATCCAGAGTAATATA